TTGGCCTGGCCTACGCCCTCTCACAAACTGGGACCCCTCAGGGGATGTCGGAGAGCCAGTTTGGGCCCGATCCTGCAGGCATAAAAGGCTAATATGCAAATTGACTTAACAGCCAAACAACTGGTTGCTATGATGTGCACTGACCACCAGGAGGCAGATGCTCAATGCAGGAGCTGCTTCCTGATGGTCAGTGCACTCCCACAACAACCTCCCTTGGCCGGCCAACCTCCCCTGAACCCTCCCTGCCCCGGTGGGCCAACCTCCCATGGCCCCTCCCCCCAGCTGCAGGCCAACTTCCTGCGGCCCCTCCCCCTGGCCAGCCAATCTCCCTCAGCCCCTCCCCCCATATGGCCACCCGAGTGGCCCAGGTCAGGCTGGCCACCCAACCCTCCACGGTCCCTCCTTCCGGCCAACCTCCCATGGCCCTGATAGGCCCAATCATGAGCCTGATTGCCGGTCCAGCTGAGGGGCCCCATCTGTGCACAAATTCATGCACTGGGCCTCTAAATTCTTTATAAAATAATGGTGATGATATTTATCAATGTTCTTATTGTTAAAGAAATTACGTCAGGCCCCTCCCCCTACAATTCTTAAATTTTTAATGTGTGCATCTGAGAGTGTGGTGAGTTTATAAAGGGGACTAAGAGGTGGTCCTTTCCCCACTCAATGTTTTGGTGGTCCCTATGCACTGCTGCTCACCTAAAGAAGACTTCTTCCATGGTAGTGATAGTGACACCAAAGCTAGCAATGCCCAGTTCTGTATGTCTCCTTTCCAGATCAGTAAACAGAGCTTCAAACCTAGAGTAAGAATATGATTAAGAGTAAGAATGAGGAAGAGGAGGGAGGAAAAAATGCTAGCATCAAATCAGAAGATTTTCTTAGTTATGTATTTTTATTCTAAATTAACATTTTTTCAGCATTGGGGAAAATGTAGATCATTCTTCACTTCAATGCTCATTATAATTTCATGCCTCTGGTAAATCAAAAAGGTGGGAAAGTTGATTAAAAAAAGAAACTAGCAAATTACTACCGCAAATTGTTTCCCACTCTACTTTGTACTTGGCTACACATAATTTTGGTCTTCTAATAAAATATCAAGAGACTCTATCTATGCTAAAACTCTATCAAGTTGACATAGTTGACTTATCACACACATGTATGCTATGGTCCCTCAGTCAATTATTTAGTAAATCAAGATAGAAAATCAGACTCAAGCTAATAGTGGGAAAAAGACACTCAAAAATAGAAAATGGATCAGGTTCAGTAGATGAAGATGTAGAGAGAACCATGTGATTCAACAGCCAAGGAAATCTGTAGAATCCAAGACAGATGAAATGTGGAGACATCAGGGCTTTTAAAGAACAGTTTTCTGTACTTCATATTCAAAGGATCATCTTTTCCAGAAACCTCCAGGTGTTCAAGATCACCTATTATAGTCCCAGTATGAGCAACTAAACCTATCTTTTCATTCTCAGTGTTGAAGAACTCAAATTTCCCTTTTTGGAATATCTATTAAAATTTAAGCTTCATATTTGAGCTTAAATTGCTTTCCATTCAATTCTATATAGTTTTGCACATTGGTTCCCAGCTGGCACCTTTAAGTTATATAATCAGATATAATCTATCTACATGATAGCCACTCACATGTTTTAAATCCATCTCTTTCTATGCTTCATCCTTCCCAATGCATGGCTTTCCCACTAGGATTCGCCCATATCTTTTTCTGCTGCTTTTACATTAGTTATGTCATTAGTTAGTACAAAATTCAGAAAATGAATGCATATAAAAATAATTATAATATCCTTCATAGATAAGCAGTGTTAATATATGAGTATTTTCACATATTTGTTAGTTTCTTTTGGCTTTACACAGTATATGACAAAATTAGAATTAAACTGTGTGGTACTTTAAAGTGTACTAATAAAGCACAAAGTGGAGATAAAGATCCATCAACAGTTTAGTAAATAAGTAGATGCATTATAATATGAATGTATGATACAATAAGATTTAACTAAAATGGGATTTTTATTTATTTTTTAATTCTTTATTGTTGGAAGTGTTTCATAGGTCTCCTTTTTCCTCCATTGACTTCTCCACACCCACTCGCACCTCCCATAACATGCCCCACCCCCCTAATTGTCTGTGTCCATTGGTCATGCTTATATGCATGGATACAAGTCCTTTGGTCGATCTCTTACCCCCATCCCCGCATTCCCTCTAAGGTTTGATGGCCTGTTTTTTGTTGTTGTTCTTGTTCTATATCTATAGGGTGTCCCAAAATTCATGCAAGAAGTAATTTCGATAAAAAACACAGGTTTATAATTAAAAATTGTAAATTTTTTATTGATTCATAAAGTATACAGTATAGGGTTATGTATGGAATAGCATATCAGGTAAATGGCCTCCACAGCTTTGCTGGCACATATGCTCTCTTTTGTTGAAATTTTCCATGACCGTTTTTGCATAAATGTGGCTGAATTTCGTTGATACAGCGCTCAATTTCCTCCTTCAAGGTGTGGGTGGTCATGGGCTTGTTGGCATATACCTTAGACTGCAAAAAACCCCAAAGAAAAAAGTCCAACTGTGTTAAATCGCATGATCTGGGTGGCCAATTTTGATCACCAAACTGGGAAATTATATGATCAGGAAATGACTCATGCAGCAATTGAATTGTTTCTCAGGCTGTATGGCATGTGGCACCGTCTTGTTGAAATCACATATCGTCCACATCTATATCTTGCAATTTAGCCACAAAAAACTGGATTATCATGTTGTGATAGCGAGCACCATTAACTGTTATTGCCTGAGCAGCCGCATTTTTGAAGAATGATCCCATGATGCCTCCAGCCCAAAATTTGCACCAAACAGTGACACGTTGTGGATGCATTTGTTTCTCAACAATCACTCGTGGATTTTCTGAATCCCAAATGCAACAATTTTGTCAATTAACCAAGCCATCAAGATGAAAATGAGCCTCATCACTGAAGATGATTTTGTTCGAAAAATCAGCATCCAATTGTTGTTCCATAATCCATTCAATGAACTCTATTTGCTGTGCATGGTCAGTAGAACTTTGGTCAATTGAAGTTTGTAAGCATGAAGATGCAAATCTTTCATGAGAATACGCTGTAGAGAGCTTCTTGAAATGTCCACTTCTTGACCACGGTGCTGAATTGATGTCCCCGGATTCTCAGCAACACTCTCATGAACTGCTTCGATGTTTTGTGTTGAACGACTTGTTGAAGGACAGCCGGAGTGTTTAAGATCACTAATTTATCCTTTGTGTAGCGCTCCATTTTTAATAACTCTGAACTGTCAGCTGTCACGCTATCTTTTTTTTCGTTGGCAACACTTTATGGCACAAATGGTGTAAAATTCAAATCTTGCGTGAATTTTTATATTTGTTTATCAGTTTATGTTGTTCATTATATTACACAAATCAGTGAGATCATATGATATTTATCTTTCTCTGACTGGCATATTTCACTTAGCATAATGCTCTCCAGGTCCATCCATGCTGTTGGAAATGGTAAGAATTCCTTTTTTTTTTTTCCAACAGCATAGTATTGCATTGTGTAGATGTACCACTGTGTTTTTTTTTTTTTTTATCCACTCATCTGCTGATGGGCAGTTACGATATTTCCAAACCTTAGCTATTGTAGATTGTGTTGCTATGAATATAGGGGTGCATATATCCTTTCTGATTGGTGTTTCTGATTTCTTGGGGTATATTCCTAGAAGTGGGATTACTGGGTCAAATGGGAGTTCCATTTTTATTTTAAAATGGAATTTTTTTCAGTCATCTTATAAATGAAGAAATCCTAAAAGTCTTATCATAGAAAGTGGATGGATAAATGCTGATAAGGGAACAAAACAAGACTCAGAACATTATAATAATATCTCATTTCTATAAAACTAATTATTATAGGAGAGGAACCAAGATGGCAGCATAGGTAAACACCTGAACTTGCTGCTGCGCACAATCACATTAAAACTACAACTAAAAGACAAAACAAATATCATCCAGAACCATGGGAAGGCTGGTTGAGTGGAAATTCTACAACTAGAAGGAAAGAGAAAAGTGCATTGAGTCTTGTAGGAGGTGCAGAGGTGTGGAAATGTGGAGGTAAAGAGACGC